CTGTAATGGGATCTAGGAATTTGATGTTATGGTGGGAGCAACGTGCTTGCCGCACCGGGCAGGTACCTGCTGCCATTCCTCATTGCGCTTCTCCTCAGCCTCACAGACAGAGGGTGAGGGGTCCACAGCCTTGGTGACCACATGTTCCTCTTGAGCTTGTGAGAGGGAGGATAGGGTGTTACACCAGTAATCTATCTCCTTCTCACACTCTCACAGTCCTGCCACACAGGGGAAATCTTTGTACTCAGGCTGCAAGAGGAAATACACCCATGACACCAGCCTAGAGAAGCAATGTCTAGAGAAGCAATGTCGGGCTGCTGCCACTTCTGCTGTAGAGGCTGCAGAGGACTTGGCTGTCCATCTGCACTGAACTGGGGCCTTGCAGTGCCTCTGAGCACAAGCTCATTCCCTTCAACCCTAGAATATGGTGCAGTGGAAGTAGTCAAAGTGGGTACCCAGCTCCTAAAGCAATCTGAACTCCATCTACTTACCTTTCCTGTAATTTTTTATCTGCTAAATGCAGGGCAAAAGGCAGACTCCCTAAGCCAGAGTCCCTGCACATGCAGCATAGAACATAGCATTTCCTGGCTTGAGGGCTGCATGCTGGTGCTCACAGCAATGCACGAGGTGCCAGTTCCTTTTTTACCTTCCCAGTCCAGGTTCTCCCTGGCAGGCCTTGCAGCAGTGCGGAAAGCACTATTCCCAGATGTGGCGGTAAAAGGGAGCCTGTCTGTTTGGCAATTGATGCCATGGCAGCTGCTCCCTGGGCTTTCATCTTCCAGGACTGGGACTGCAGAGCTTTCTGGGTAATGGTTATCAATTCCTGCATATACAGTCTGATGCCACCCTGAGTACCTGCATGTCAAACAGAGGAAACCTGTAATTTCACCACAGAACAAACTCTGATCCTATTTGGAAAAAAAAAAGAAGAAGAAAAAAAAGCAGTTACATATTTATCTTTTTTTTTGGCCACAAAACATATCAGCAAGGCCTACTTCAGGCAAAAGGATGAAGATTTCCTCCCAGGCTGATTGCAGGTGTGTTCTGTTTTCTGGGTGCTTCCAAAGAAAATCTTTAGCATATATATAAAGATCTCATCTCAGTCCTACCATGTGGCAGACACTAGACATTGTGTTAGCCTGTTTCTAAGGGATACAAGAAGAACAAGGTCACTGGAAAACCTTTTTGCAGCTCCTTTCCCAAATTCCAGAAAAGTAATCTGCTGACTGAAGGACTAGATCCAAAATCCAGTCAGAGAAGGAAGCCAGCAGAACCATTTCACCATGCATCCAGATATTCCTCTACAGACAGAAAGCATGGCAAAGCAGCCCTTATACAGCGTAGATTCATTCATTGATGTTAAAAACACAGGCACCAACAGAAAGAGCTCCAGCAGAGACACAGGCCAAAGTCCTTGGTAACTTCAGAGTGTACAGCAGCCCTTAAAGGCAGGCATCTAAATTTCTGAAAACGTCCAGCTATCTGCACCATGACCAGGGCCCTACTACAGCAGCATTCAGTGCCTCACAATCTGTACCTGTGCATCCTCAGCGATCAACACCTTTGCGATTATTTTAAATAGCCACAGAGAAGCTAACCTTCCAAAACTCATACAGGACATCTCTAGCAAGGAAGAAAATGGAAACATGCTGCCCAAATCTCTTAACATGAGAACTCTGTTTCCAAAATGGATTTCCAGAAGGCATGGCACTTCTTGCCCTGTGCTTCCCAGAGAGCTTTTACCACCCTTAACGCAACTTACCAGGTACGTTTTCCTGCCAAACTTCAGTCCACAGAGTAGAATTCTCTTTCTCTCCTTTCTCTTCATCAGGAACCTCATGCATGCCAAGAAAAGCCAATGGCAGCACATGTTTGGCATGGTTCTTCACTATGTCCGGACTGTAGCGTCCCATAGCATGCACAGTTAAAGCACAGCCTGTTCTGTAAACTGGCTCTGAAGGAGCAAAACAATCACATGTTATTACTTGGAAACAGGATTTTCCTTCAACAGCTTACTCTTCCTTCTTGGGACGCACAGGAATGCACAGTATTGTATATGATGTGTGGGAATTATTAATCCAGTGAAACCAAGCATCACAATACAGAAATGGTTCTTTACTGGCTTTTGCTATCACCAGGAACTTTTTCTGCACAGTGTTCTGTAACTGAACACCCCAAAAACAACTTACCTTCCTTCTCCATGTACCAACTGCTGAGTTTGTGAAGCAGCTTCTCAGTACTACTGTCCCGGGAAGTCTGTAACAGGGAAGAGACTCAAATCACACAAACACTTCAAAAAAACCAACAACAAAAAAGCAAAATAAAACCTAAACCTATGTCATATCACAACTCACCCGGACAAGATGACCCATACCAAAGGCAAAAGACTTCTGTATCACGCTGTTGCGATCAGTGAGACCACTAAGTAAAGCACTCATAAGTTTGCCTGTTGGAAGAGATTTCACTTGATCAGGAGTGTCATGTTTTTATCGCTGTGGCAAGAATTACAATAGCCTGCATTTCATTAGACTGTCTGGATTTATGAATTTTTCTTCATCGCATGTTTGCTGGGTTATAGGTCTGTCTGGTCCTTATATTAAAACAAGTGCACAGCATAACACAACAAGGCTCAGCAGAAACTAGTGTTCTGCTAGCCTCAGCCAGCACACCTTGACCAGAAACGTTCCTGTGACATGAGCACCCCAGCTGACCATGCTTTTGGCTTTATTTCTATTTTGCAACAGAAAGGTTCTTTCTACTATCAAATCACAATAAATGGTAAAGGAGTGACTAAGACCCAAGGAAGCAAAGCTCCTGTTTATGTTACTGACAGCGCTGTACTAACACAGGCATTGTTAGTTTGCTCCAAGAAAGTCTAGAGATATTTCTGCCTGTTCACAGAATCGCAGAATATGAGGAATTGGAAGGGACCTCGAAAGATCATCCAGTACAACGCCCCTGCCAGAGCAGGATCACCTAGACCAGGTCACACAGGAACATGTCCAGGCGGGTTTTGAATGTCTCCAGAGAAGGAGACTCCACAACCTCTCCGGGCAGCCTGTTCAGTGCTCTGTAACCCTTACAGTAAAAAAGTTTTTCCTCATATTCAGACTGAACGTCCTATGCTCCAGCTTGCACCCATTGCCCCTTGTCCTGTCATTGGCTGTCATTGAGAAGAGCCTGGCTCCTTCCTCCTGACACTCGCTCTTTACAAATTTATAGACATTAATGAGGTCACCCCTCAGTCTCCTCTTCTCCAAGCTAAAGAGACACAGCTCCCTCAGCTGCTACTCACGAGGGAGATGCTCCACTTCCCCCATCATCTCTGTGGCTCTGCACTGGACTCTTTCAAGCATTCCCTGTCCTTCTTGAACTGATGAGCCCAGAACTGGACAATATTCCTGAACTCCTCCCAAGTGGCCGTCCCCTCCTTCCATGGTCTATAGACTCTCTTCTTCCACTTGAGTTTGCCCAGCAGTTCCCTGTTTAACCATCGGGTCTCCTGGCTCTCTCTCTTGATTTCCTACCTGTTGGGATGCTCTGATCTTGAGCCTGGAATAACTGATCCTTGAATATAAAGCAACTATCTTGGGCCCCTTTACCTTCTAGTACCCTGTTCCATGGAAGTTCCCCTAGCAATTGCTTGAAAAGACACAAGTTGGAAAAGGCCAAAGTTGGCCCTGCTGAAGTCCAGGGTTGTGATCCTGCTTGGTATTCTGTTCCTACCGCATAAGATCCTGAACTCCACCATCTCATGGTCGCTGCAGCCAAGGCTGCCCTCAATCTTCACAACTGCAACCAGACCATCCTTGTCAGTGAGTATAAGATCCAGCAGCACTCCTCGCCTGGTTGGCTCATTCACCATTTGCATCAAGAAGTTATCAAGTTCCTACTGGGCACTGGCGAATTCCCTCAGCTCCTTCCTCTGCCTCTTCAACTTGGTGAGCTATTTAACATCCCCAGGACCTATGCCCAGCATGCCAGACTCATACCCACCAGGCAACTTCAAACAGCTCTCTCAGAAAAATACACACTTCTTGTGATAAAATCAAGGGCCACTAGGGAGGAAATACTACCTACACAACAGCAACAAAAAGTACCATTAAAACCTGACACTAGAAAAAAACCTTACCTGAATAAGGTGTCAAGTCCTGAGGACACTGTGTGGTTAATGACACAATTACACTGGCGCAGCCTCCCTGAAAGATAGCAAGGGAAAACAAAGGTAGGATAAAACAATATTAGCCCCTGGTTGTTACTTTTCATACTTGGGGCTGCACTATATGCACTCATATAACAGGATTTATACCCACCGAGCCCCTGCCCTGATAAGCTGGGAGCCCAGGGTAGGAGCAGAAAAGCAGTTTGTAACAAACGTATGGTAAGAATTGAATTAGGGGGTTATAAAGTTACCAGGACCCACACTCATGATAGATGGTCCTGGAAGATTTACAGCTATCAAGGACAATCTTCTGCACTCAAGTGTCCCAAAGTACGGTTAAAACAGCACACATTCAGAAAATTACAAGTAATGTAGGTGGATTGAGAATCAGATGTAAAATGACTTCAGCATGAATGAGCCCAAGCTGTCACTTTAAAAGAGACAGTCAAAAGAACTGTAATTATGTGAACATCTCACAGTGTTTCCTTCTACAAATGAACTGTTAAAGTCACAGACGTACCTTTGTGCCTAGGCCTACTCCACTTTTGATCAGTTCACACAGCCGAGGAACCAGCTCACCCAGCACAGACACATCCAAATACTGCAAGCTCTAGAAAAAGACAAGGGATAGGGGAAGAGAAAAAAGAAAAGTAACGGTAGTAGACTTAAGCTGGTTTACTTCCAGCTGAGGCCTGCCTCTGTTCTGCAGGCTGATCTTCATCTGAATTGTAAAGTTTGCTGCATGGTGGGAAAAATGCACCACAAAGCGGCTTCCACTACCTACAGATCTTCTTGTCCTACTGCTATGCTGAGCTGACACTGCTAAAATTACCATTTGCTGGAAATGATGTAATTCTGCACTCCAATTGCTTTAGAAAGCTTAAAGTAAGACACTAGCAAGAACTCCTTTTGAGGAGGGAAAGGGGTGTAATGGTGTGCATATATTAGGACAAACCACAACATTCTCCCAGCTGTCTGAAACTGAAGCAATAACATATCCAAACTAGACAATAAAATGAAACAAAGACAGTTTTTAAACAGGTCAAGCCAAACAAGGTACATAAAGGTACAAGAGGAATTTTACTGGTATAATTTCTAATCTCCTATGCTTAATATATCACTGAGTAAAAGAGAAAGCCTCATGTTTCCAGCGCTTCATGTAGCACACTCTCTGCAGAGGTGAGATCCACCCTCTAGCAAATTCAAGGATCACAGACAAACTGAAGGTAACTCTCTCCAGAAGTTTGATCTGCTGTCACTTCCCCCTTCTGCACCAGACTGGTGAATGAAAAAAATCTGTTATATCCAATGATACAATCTCCCAACAGTACCAGAACATAGAGGAATAGAGAAAAGATTGCTCAGAAGCCAGGGAAGATGTACTATCTCTCCCCTCCCCAAGGAAACCCCAAGCATTTACCAAGGCAGCACAACTGTTCCCCCAAACTGGGCTGGCAGGGGAGAGCCCTGGCCTGGAGGAGGGACAGCAGCAGCTGCTGCAGCCTGTGGGGTGGCAGCAAGTACACTTTCACATGGAGCCTTTCATCTCCAGCTGCTTTACACACTATTTATAGGGGGCACTCCACCTAACACCAAAACACAGCTCCACATGCCGTTACGTACAGGAGGGCTGGCTGCTGTTACTTTTTCACAGGCACAGGAAACGAAGGATAGCTCTGGTGGCTATGTTCTCCTAAAACTTGCTCAGTGCTCACATCTTCTCCCTGCTCATGTGCCCCTGGCTGAGTGCAGTTCCTAAGCAGAAAAAAGGGGTCTTTTATTTGGGACCACACAGGCTCTTACCGAAGATAGGCAGTCTGCCAAGACAGACCCTACAACAGTGTCTGGGCATCAGCAACTCCTCTTTCAGCAGCAGGTGCCAAACACCAGCTGCTGACAGTGCTTTCAGTGATATCAGCATTTTCTCTTAACAACTCCACCATCACAGTCCAGGTAGGGATATCTAAGACACCAGACAAAGGTTGGACAGCATTTGTGCCTTGAGAACTACTATCATCAGTTGGAGGCCCAAGTGAGAAGCTGATATTGGAATTGTGGGCAGATATTAAGATAAATAGCAGCTAGCATAATCCAGACCAGCAAAGCCCCCACCCAAAGAAAAGCATTTGAAAGATGCCTTCTTCATCAAAGCAGGCAGGTCTTAAGGTAGAAAAAACAATCTGTCTGACTCAAGTGGAGCCAAAGTTATTTACCACCGCTCTGAGGAGCAAGCTGTTGCAACAAGATGAGAGAAATCAGAACATGAAAAAGAAGGTGGACAGACACCTACATGGAGATACAATAATAAAATGAACCCTAAAGAGGTATTCTGTAAAGCCCCCATTTCAATTCCTATTCTTCTAGAACATACCTTACACTGGAGCCCTTTTGAATCAAGTACTTACCATGTTAATGGTTTCCATCATGGGAGATGACTTGACAGCACTAAGTCTGGCACTATCCATTGCAGTCTGAAAAAAAAGGGAAGAAACCAAAACCAAGCAACTTATTAGTTATTTGTCTCTGCATCTTTGCACACTTCTCAACCAAATCTGCTATTTTTGTGTTCACAGAATGAAGCTTAGATCTTTTTTATCTGTTCTGTTGATACTTTTCCATTATAGTTGCACTTACTTTCTCCTGATCTGTTGCACAAAGACTCAAATAATTGAGGACTTGAGGCTCCAGCACACTCAAGGATTCCAGCAGGGCTGGGATAAGCTTTGGAGCATGAGGTTTCAGCATAGACCCAGCACTTTTACTGATCTTCACAAGAGTGTTAATGCTGGGGGGGGGAAATAATCAAAGGTCAACAGAGAAATATGCAGACTTAGCTGAAAAACATTCTCTGGTATCAACAAAAAGGTCAATCCAAATCTCAGATACATCAATATAATTCTACCTGCAAACAAAAATCAACATATTTTTCTGCTTAAGCAGAATCATACTGTAGCCCTGAGCTTCCAGTTGATGCTATGCTTTGCAAAGAGATTGCCTCCTTTGGCCAGAGTACCACAAAGGGAATGGGCAAAGAGGCAGTACTACAGATGGATGTAGGTAGAAATAACACATCTTTATGTTTTTAAGCAGCTCTGAGCAAAGCCACCTCAGAGATATCCACTATCTCTGCTCAAGAACTAATTGTAATGATCTGTTCAAATCCCACTTGTCAGTTTCTGGCTGACCACATCTCAGGCTGCATTTTGACAAAGGGTTTTCATATCTTCAGAAAAAAAAAAATTACTATAATTTGTTAGGAGATTTCTAATCTTCCTGGATAATCATGTTCAATAAACTAAAATTATTTCTGCAAAGATCAGCTACACTTCAGGTCTGAATTTTCCAGCTTTTCTGTCCTTCAAGCAAATGAAGGAATAAACAAGGTTACAAAGTGACAAGCATAAGAAGTCCCTATATATCGAAGGACATCGAAGAGTTACATGACATAAAATGTATTTGAACAGTGTGACCAAACGCAGCCACCTCTGGGATGTGAACTGTCATTACACACAATCAGCCGTGAAATATGACCTGGCTGTTTCAAGAACTACCATGGGATTTATTGTCTACAAGCAGGAGCAAAATGCCAGCCCTGATAGACAGCCTGAAGTGCAGCAAACTGCGTGCAAATCAGTTTGTCAGGTATACAGGGAAAAAATAACTTCCTGTTGAGAACTGATCTGGGCATCTGCAGAGAGGCCAGATACTCCCCAAAGATAGGTGGAGTTCCCAGGGCTGCTGTGTGAACTCAGTAAGAAAA